ATCTTTAAATGTCTCTATCCATTCACTGAGTTTCCATTCAGTCAGTGTGTTTTGCTATCCATGATCAAGAATAGAAACTGAAAGATAAATTGTAATTTCTAAAAAGCCATAACTACTCTATATATTAGACATTTCAGCTCTTTAAATTGAAGGGGAACAGCAGTTACATAGACACACAGATCATAAATTAAGATTTTACAGTGTGCTCAGCTCTTTTTAAAGGTAATACAGCAACTGGTCAGTTATGGAGGGTGATGTTAGCAGGCAAAAAGAGAAGTCCAAAAATGAGCAGATTACGAAGAAAACTAGATTCAGATTAAAGAAAAAAAAAAGCTAGACATGTATGGCTCTGATGGCGCAAAAGACTGTCTGACAGAAATTCATTCTCATGTCCTTTTTCATTAACAACACACATGATTGACAAAACAGAAAAACAAGCTCTGACTTCGAAAGCTATGTTTAGATAAATAGGCATAGTCAAAACATGCTTGTGTTATACTCTGTGATGAATAAACATGTAATAATATATGTTACAAAATAACCTTTTTCCAAATGACAGAAAAAAGTGTCATGTTCTTAATGGAATGACAACAAGACTGAGTGACTTTCAGTTTCTCATGAAAAGAAAATGAAACTGAACTAAAGATTAAATCCTGCCACCTTTCCATTTCCATTTTGTTTTCATACACAAATAATGTAATTTGCATTAACCAAATTCTTTCTTCTATGTATGATTAACCTCTGTTTCAGTCCTCTTCTTTAGACATGACAACGATCACAAGACACAAACGAAGCAGGGAGAGCAGTCCACAACTAAACCACTAAAAGGCCTGGATGTGTTTTACAATCTGTAGGCTTATATTTTTTAAGTGAGGTTGTGGTATATTTTTTTTTAAAAAAATGTGTTTATGTAGAAGTAACCTTTTCTGGAAGAATAACACAAGAACAAGGCCTCTCACAATTTGCACATTTACTCTTTTATTGAACAGTATACCATATCAAATACATGCACACGTTTAGATTTAGACCAGATTGAACTAAAGAAAACAAATAACATAAAATGCTGTAAATAGTTGAATGATGTCATTTTGATCCTGGTTTAATACTTCTTCTTAGAAATAATTCTTCTATTTTGCAACATTTCTCTTTTGGATATTGATATGAACCGTCATCGTACAATAGGCAAATATTTATCCTGAATGTTAATTCAGGACAAATGACAAATGAATAAAAACTTAAAACCTTAAAAAAAAAATTAAAAATGCTAAAACTTTTATAACTGTTCTACTTGGACACTATTTATACTTAAACCTATTTATACAAAACCTTACTGACTTTGGTAAGAGTATTGTAACAACATTGGTAAATGTAGAGCAGTTGTTGAAAAGGACGATAAATGTTAAACTATCATCTTCTTTCAGCTGCTTCTGTTTAGTTATATGACCTGCA